AAAAATGGGGTACAGAGTACAGAGGTTTACCTTCACAGTTCAAAGTTTCCGCTCGGAGGTTTATCAAGAGAACTTAGAGAAGAGGAGAAGTACTCTTTCAAGTTCCAAACCTGAGGTTCAAAAAAAAAAAAAAAAAAAAAAAAAGGTTTAAACTTTGAACCTCTGGTGACATGGATCCGGGGAAATGTGCGAACTCTATCGATGGGCACCAGTGTCTGCACTGTCTGGTGTTTCAAGATTCACCGGATATGGTCTGGTAGGCTAATCGCGAGCGTGGTATGGTTAGGGTTCTTACCGCGAGTGGACATGGTAGTACCTATGGTCGCTAGCAAATTGGGTTTTGGGTTGAGCTCGGAGTGAGCCAGCATATTTGGGAGTCAGCGGATGGAAGACAGCTATTTGTTTTGTTGCTGTTGGCCTTGACAACATTGAAACAAAGAAAAAGAAAAAGAAAAAAGACTGTTTTGAACTTTTCGGAGTTTCTCAGCTTTTTTTTTTCTTTTCTTTTTTTTCATTTTTCGCAGAAAACCCAATCCCTCGACCGCAGGATCGCTGCAGCACCGAGCCGGGAACATCCTCAACTCTCCAGACCCTCAAGTACCTGGACTGCCAGACCCCACAAGCATCCAAAATGCCCGATCTTCACGAGATGAAGATTTGAAGCCGGGTTATGCTATTCAATATTTATCCTTTAAGAGCATGATGACAGACTGGCCCCAGGTAATTCAAACTTACTTTATTCTGTTCACATCTGGATTCGAACTTGGGTCTGTATTTCAACAGTTCAACAGTGTACCAACTGAGCTAGGTCCATTGGTAGAGTATGACAGACCCATGTGGGGAACCTTTTGGAAATCACAGGGGGCGCAGAACATACAATACATAGAAACATTTGAGCATCAGTACCTGGGGACATCGGTTGAAATTGGGACGATAGTACACGATACAGAGAAGATTAGCATCGCCCCCACACAAGGATGACACGGAAATGGTCCAAATTATTTAAAAAAGAAACATTTGAGCATCAAAATCCAGGGCCGTCATGGTTGTGTCAGGGAAATTATAACCTTGCCCTACTTTACTTTCCTGGAACCCCTCTTATTCTGCAAAAACACCCACCCTGGCAAACCCCCATTGCAACCCCCCCCCCTCATCCCCCCTCATCCCTGCTGTGTGATGGGTGTGGTAATCCTGCTTACCCCCAACGTTGGCCCTTTTGCCGCCACTTCACGACAAAAGTCCTAGGTACTCTGCCTGTATCTTCCCGGTCCTCTTCAATCCGTGCAAGCAAACCTGGGGCCATGAGGCGCACCATTGACTGCACAACAACATACCATAATAGATTCAAACACCATCAAGCCCAAGAGAAAATACTAAAAATAGATTTCTTTTTTTTTTAAACCCAGTCCGGCTGCTAGGGAGAGTGCTACGAGCGCCTCCCCCTAGCAGTCTTCCTGGATGCACCAGTCTATTTATTGGTGGGGAGCCACACCTGCTGGAAATGGGATCCAGCGTCCCTTTTTTACATCCAACGACTGAGTCTCCATCAGAACTTGTGTAAAGTGACATCCTGCCAGCATTGATTACCCTGATTGCCAGGGGATTGACTGAACAGGTGGACTTTCCTTGTGCAAAGTAGGCATCCTGCCGGCATTGATTGCCCTGATTTCCAGGGGATTAACTGAGCAGGTGGTGTTAAGCTCGAGAGCAACATGATAAATTGAGAAGAGCCTGAGAGCATTTGACAAGCCTCATCCAGGAGGCACCAGGGAGGTTTGCCGCCTGCTTGTCTTGATCTTATCGTAATCTCGTCTTAATCTTGTCACACTGTTGCAGCTTGGTCAAACAAGTATTTCTGTCAGAGAAAGGGGGTGGGGAGGGAACGGGTCTGGGAAATCAGATGGGGGTCTCATTGGGAAGGCCGGGTCAATGTGGGTCCAATTGAAAAGGAGTCTGTAATCTCTCGGGATTTCTTGATTCGACGCCGCGGTCTGATCCCCTGTCCACTCCATTCGCCCCATCCATCCACCCCGTTGCCCGCCCAGCCACTCCATGCAGAACTCCGTAATCACCCTCCTAATATCTCGGTCTGTCTGAAAGATATCTAACTGTGGCTTAAGGTCACCCCATCATCTACGCATCAGCTCCATCTGCACTAAAACCTTTATCTGCCCTGTCAATTCAGGGCCCTCAATCTTTACCCCCTCCAAGACCAGAAGGCACGCTGGTGGAGGACAGACCGTCTACCCAGGCTATACAGGTTACTCACGTAGGCAGGGGCATTTTCCATTGCTGGGCAATGTCCTGCCAGTATGGCTTGCCAAGACCATGGCCAGGGGGTGTCTGGTATTGTTTTTCTCCAGATGCGGTCCCACACCGCCATGTCAACAAAGCCACTGGGCACTGCATGAAGATGTGTTCAATAGTTTCATTCCTTTTTTGCGCTGGGAAGGCGGCTAGGCATCGGTGGCACCATGGCAGTGCTATCCCCTTTTGTTCCAGACGAGTATGGTCAATTAGCCAATTAGCCAGGCATTTGTCGGCAAACAGCGATGGGCAATCTGCCATTGCACAGATGTAACCTTCGCCGGCCTGGCTTAATTTTCATTGAACCACTTAATGGGTGTGAGGATGATGCGATCCACGCTCAAGTGTTCAGCCCATCTACCGTTTATCAAGTCCCTTAAAACTCTTTTGGGTCTCAGCATTCTATACGTAGATTTGACCGATAGTTTGTTTAGGTGGACTTTTTTACCGGTCGCCGCTGTTGCTCTCCGGGCCGTCTGCCATTGCCACTCGTCGGGGTCAAAAGCCAGCTCTCTTATTGGTGTGAGGGGGAGGAAGACTATAGAATCATGTCCTTCCCCCAACACTCGCACTCGGAAGACCTCTTCCTTCTCCCGCCACTCAAAAGGAATCCGAGAGCCGTAAAGCTTCCCCCTTGGCCCGATTGTGTAATACTCCACCAAAACATCCGATCTCCGCACCATGTGGATCTGGCCTATCTGTGCCGTGTCCCCTAAGAGGGCCACCCAGTCCCCTTCCTCTATGGTGGGGCCATGTTTGAGAGTCCTATACCAGGCCAGTGGGATAGCTTCGATAATCATCTCCAGGTGTTTCTCCGTGTGATGACAGTACCGGAGAGTGCCTTGCAGCTGGGTCGCTGTTTTCCAATCCTTTTTCCTTTGGTCCCACAGATGCCCGATGCGCAGTATGCCATTTTTCACCCATCCCTTCCATGGGGCTGCTGAGCTATTCATGATCTGCCCATGACAGGGTGTAATACACCGATTACCAAACAGAGGTTGTCGGTACACTTCCTCCCATCGCTCTGGCGCCTGTTTCTCGGGGAGGGGGAGCCTGCTCCAAATTTTCAATACTGATGGCCAGAATTGGTCTGCAGCTTGGCCGTGGATCTTACGCGGGAAATATTAGATAATCGGCATTACAATTATCGCGTTTCTGATATGGATAAGGTCAGACGCCGCGGCCCGTTTTTGGCTTGGCATCCACCTTCTTTTTTTTTTTTTTTTTCCCGAACAAGGTTGATGCCAAAGCAAAACCAGACAATCGAAAATATAATCATTGACAAACCAGCAAGAGAGAGAGGGAGAAGAGAGGAGAAACAAAAAGGAATAGAAAGAAAAAGAAGAGGGGGAAGAAAGAGAAGAAGAAGCAGAAGAAGAAATGGGGGAAGAGGACGACGACCAAGATGAGTAAAGAAGAAGAGAAGATAAGAAGACAAGAAGCAGAAGATTAGAATGAAGTGCCGCTGACACATCGAAAGGTGAGCTTGATAGACTGGCGCAGCGACCCTACGTTGCGTTTCATCCGGCCGGCACTACCGGAATCATCAGGGGTCTTGTGTTGCTAGGAAAAGGGATTGAGCTCTTTGATTTTCCTGAATAAATACCCCTCAGCGAGCAGAGAGACCGTCCACCAGAATTGGTTGGGCTTAAAGAATTAGCTTATAAAAATAAAAAAAAAAAAAAAAAAAGATGTAGAGAAGAGGACCCAAGAAAACACAAAAACAAGTCCAGATTCAAAAATAGAAAAAGTACCCACTACCTGCAGATAGTACCGCTTCAGACCAGAAATCGAGATCCAGTTTTCCAGAAGTAACGGCTCGCCAGTTCAGCAATACAAAACCCCAATGCTGACTTCCCTGGCAGCCACTTGTCCAACTACCAGACAAAGTTTCGAAACCCACTGGCACTTCAAGAAGCAATTTTCAAAAAGAAAATGAAAAAGAAAATGAAAAAGAAAATGAAAAAGAAACTGAAAACGAAAACGAAAACAAAACAAAACACAAAGGAAGGAAAAAACAAAGAAAGTAAAAAAAAAGGGGCCCTATCCTAGCAATGGGCACCTGCGAAGCCCAACAGATTCGTGGTAAAGCCACAACCCTATTTCCTACCTTGGTCATAATGGCCAAAAAAAGAGGGAAAAGAGGAGGGAGGGGGGCGCAGGGGTCCATCGAGTACAAAGCCCGAACTGAGGCTCAGGCAAGGTCCGTCATCCGATTTGCCTGAACAAGGTCAGTCGAGTCCTGCTAGCCACTGCAAGTTGTTGGCTTGGCATCCACCCTTTTTTTTTTTTTTTTGAACAAGGCCAGTCAAGTTCTGCTAGCCTAGCCACCAATTCTTTACAAAAACAAACTTTAACAGTCCTTCGGGGACATCCGTTAAACTTGGAACGATACAGAGAAGATTAGCATGGCCCCTGCGTAATCAAGGATGACACACATTAATCGAGAAATGGTCCCGGAAAAAGAAAAAAAAAAAAAAAAAAAAAACATGGTGTGAAGTTGTGAACCCATTTGCAAGTCTGCAGAATCTGCAGATGTGTCCTTCTTCTGTATCTCACTTTGATACAATCTGGATGGTTTAGATCCCACAAGAGCCCAAACGACCGGAATCGCCCACATTTCTGGGAGATCTGGACAGCGCAGACATGAATTTCCTCAATTTTCCTGTGCCGGCCAAAATCCTCCCCCCCACCCCACACACACACACGCTCCAGGGCGATTTTCTAGGCTAATTTCGACCCCGGGCTGCTCAGGCGGATTGAAGCAGAGCCCAGCTTACACCAGGAAACCAGGATCGTCACATAGCAGTAGTGGCCCCCCACAGAATCATGGCCCTCAGATGCTACAAATCATCGGTCAGATGTTCTTCTACCTGGAAGCACAGGCTCCAAAACTCCAAAACTCCAAATCAGTTTTTGTCCAAAGCAGCAGTGAACCCCATTTTTGAGCCACACTGCAATCACCCCCTCCCTGTCTTGAGGGTCATCACCATTGCCTCCTTCGCTCCTCCTTTTTTCACTACTCCTAATGGAGGGGTGAAGGAGGCGGTGAGACAGGGAGGGGGTGATTGCAGTGTGGCACAGAAATGGGGTGCCTCCTTCACTCCTCCTCAAGTCTTGAACCCATAAAATCATCTCCCCCTGAAACAGCAGTCCACTACTGCTACTCGTTGACGTCAATAATAATAAGTTGATAACTATCACCACCATCATACGTTGCATGCAGTCGACTACAGTTACTCGTTGACACCAAACATAATCACAATCAGAATCATCATACTTAGGGTGCAGCACTACTGCACTGCCATGCAGCGTCACCCACTTCCCGTTTCTTTTTTTTCTTTTGTTTCTTGGGAACATCCCGATGGCTTGGCGATTCTGTTAATGAAGGTGATAGGAGCATCCTCCATTAACAGGGTCCCAGTTTTTAGATGGCTCCTCTCTATTCGTGGGGAGGATCAGCTTCTGGAAAGCGCGTCACCCACTGCCCTAAAAGAGCAGCAGAACACACCAGTTTTTGTGCTGATACTGGGTTGCCAACCCTGGCCCCGACCAGGATTACTACTTGCGTTGAAGGGGTCACGACTGGTGGGGCCTACGGGGCCCCACAAATCATACTAATATTTTGAGAGGGGTGCCTGGGACGCAAAACATCATCCCAGGTGCCCCAGTGTTTAAAAAGAATCCTTGCCCGAGGGACCAATCCAGACATACTGGACCAGACACCAGACCCGGACATCCACATTCAGAACGTCCGGATGCACATGGTGGCCCCTACATCCGCGGCTGGTTACCATGTGGATCTGACATTTTTTTACCCGGACATCTGGCTGGTTACTATGCTGGAAACCCCAGACGTTTTTACCGCACAGAGAGGCATCGGGCTTGTCACCATATGCATCCTGCTGGTTATCATGCACATCCGGCGTTTTTACCCGGACGTATGGCAACTCACTCTTTATGTGGTTGTTTGAATCAATTAACTTAGATTCATTGACTTCAGTCAATGAA